GTGGGTTCTTGCAGATACAGTGCACTCTTTGCCAAGTGGTCTTCTCTCCAACAATGCAGGTATCTTCTCTCCAGTCACTCTGGATCCCAAACATGTCCAAGCATTCACTGCTGAAAACAGAAATTCTCACCAACTTGTTATTGGGTTTCAGGACAAAACGAGGTGCCTGTAGAAGCACAGTGACGGTGCACTCGGAGGAATCGGTTCGCTGAGCTATGACCTGCAGCAGGGCCGCGGGGAGGCAGACCACTCGGGCCTCCTTCACCGGACACTCCGGGTCAAACAGGTCACTCTCGTTGGCAATTGGAGGGATTTTATGGGGCACCAGGTAGCTGGTCATAAAAGAGTTGGGTGTGATCTCACGGCCCGCATACACAGACACCGTGAACAACACGGACACTTCTGTCATGATGTGGATCAACACGTCCCTCCCTGCTGTACAGTCCACAACAAAGCTAAATGCCCCTGTCGTCTTTGTCAATGATTCATCCACCGCATAAGGCTCTGAGCTGGGTCCCACCGTGAGATTAAAAGTTCCAAAGCTCAGGTTTTTCCTGATGAGGTACACTTCCACTGCATCAGGTGGGATCTCAATCACATCACCCGTGGCCTCGACTCCTGTCATTCGGAATCCAACCACCTGGGTCAAACTGTTTTCCCCATAATTTAGCCAAGGGAAAGGGTCATCCACAAATTCACAAAACATCGTGGAAATCAGAGCGTTGGCAGGCAGACTAGGAATGCTGTTCACATTTAGGGTGGGATAAAAGCAATTCTGACAGTGCTTCTGGGTGCTGAAGAACTTGGTAACATTCCACTTTTCTGTTTTCTTGACATACATTTTAAAGTTGGAGGTCCTCAAGGCAGTGGTCTCGTTCTCTGGCACTTTCACAGCCAATACCGTGTCTGCTAGAGATTCAACCACATGGAAAGGCTCTTCGAAGACTTCATAATGAACCAGCAGTTTCAGGATATTAGACAAGGTTATTAATATTCCAGTGCACACACTTTCTATTTGCTCAGAAGAAATGCTCTTATCTCTCTGATGACTATCTTGGAGGGCTTGGCTTGCTTGCCAAGTCCTCACTGTGGCCAGTTTCTGAGAGAATGCATTGATCTCAGAGGTTTTCTCTGTTAATTTAGTAACAGCCATGACCACCTGGCTAATATTCACCAAAGTGTTTATAGGAAGAATGAGTGTCTGATTGAAAAGGTGTTCTCGCAGTTTAATTTTGTCAGCTTGCAGATTTATGTCGGTTTTCATGCTATTCAAGACAGATGCTATTACATATATTAAATAACTTGCATTTAGAAAATCCTGCTGTTGAAGCAAAGTAGACAGGGAGGAATTTGGTCCCATAGTAAAGTTGGATAAGTGCTCCAGCACAGTCATTGATGAGTTTACGTCAGTGGGAGGCCGCACAGCAGTGGCGTAAAAGTTAACCTGAGAAAAAGCTCCCAGAGAGGTATTATATGCCTGAGCAGTTATTTTCAAGGCATAGTGACTGTCCAACACACCAACAGGGAGAAAGGAAGGGGGTGATGTGCAATTCTTCCCCAAATACAGGATGGACCCAAAGTTATTATCTTTCACAGAACTGATCGCACCAAAACCATGTACATCAGGAACTATTATTTTATATGTAAGAACAATGTTCTTATCCTTGTAACGAGTACAAATGACAACAAACTTTGTAATGAAGGAAATTCCTTTCTCTGGAACAATTTTGCAGTCTGTGGTTACTGGGACATGGCGAATAATGAAAGGATACCTTAAGGCCAAGGTGACTCCACTCCAAGTTGCCGCATTTAGAGAAATCCAAAACTTATCTTCCCTGAAATTCCAGAAAGCAAAAGGTTTTATAGACATGTAAGCACCATTCCGTCCTGTTGACGTTTGCCCCGACCAGTCAAGTGGCACCTCCTGACCTGAAGACGTCAGAATGGACCACCAGTAGACATCTCGGCCTGGTGTACAACCTGTGCAATCCAGAGACAACGAGAACCTCTCTGATAAAACCAAAACCCGGTCACAGTTCTCAACACATGAAATGCTTGCTACCGGGGCTCCCCGAAGCACGTGCAGTGTTGCATCAGCGAATGCTGACCTGCCGGTCTTCTGGATCACCAGCCTGAAAAAATATACACGGCCACCTTGAAGTGTTCCTGGAGAAAGTGTGAGAATAGGACCAGAGGCCAATGTCCACTTGAGATCAACCTGCTCCGGGAGACAAACTTCCTTGCTTATCACTGTTATGTTTCCTCCATCATAGTCTCTTGGGTTTGTGGTACAGTACCAGAGAAACTTAAGTCTCTCTCTCTCTAGAGGGTCTGTTTCCTCTGGATCAGAAGACATATTTCCATTGAGAGTCACCCCATCTGTGAAATTAACTGTGATGTTGGAAGGCCCTGAAATAACAGCATTCAGGGGACGTCTATAAATGACGACATAGATGCTATCTGAGTCGTTCTGCCCCGGAACCCGTGGATCCCATGTTCTGACAACCACCGTTAAATTAAACAAATACACCCCCCAAGGTAAAGAATATGGGGGTAGAGTCAACACTGTTGAAAATCCAGCTAACTTGACCGGTGGGTTTATCAGAGGTTTGCTCCAGTCGGGCACAGCTCCTACATAGGGCACGGGAAAGATATACCACGTCCGCTCATGGTACTGTTGGAGTGGACAGAAGAGGATGACTGTTGCATTGAAGGTGTCTCCCATGTCCCTGGTCAGTCGGACCGGTTTATCGTCGTTCCTATGAATCCGCACAGGGTCCAATTTACAGAGCGACGGGCGGGATACCTGACAGGACACCGAGGACTCAGCGGGTTCCGAGCTGTTCGGGCTGACAGCTTCTAAGACGACCGGGGTGGGTCCGTCCGTGGGACACTTGGTTCGGGCCACGAATCCCGGGTAGGAGCGCCGGGCGCGGTGCAGAGCCCGACGGGGCAACGTGTGGCGCTCGCCGGCCGCAGGCCCGAGCAGCCCGAGGCGGAAGGTCCACTCCAGAGGCCCGAGCGAGCGCGGCAGGCGGGACAGCCAGCGCAGGGAGAGCCGGCCGCCGGGCGCGGACAGCTGCAGGTCCACCTGCGCGGGCGCGGGCGCGGCTGAGCTGCGTCGGAGGCGCAGGGCGGAGGGCCAACGGACAAGGCGTGTGGGGCGCGGGGCGGCCTGGGCGCGGGCCGGGGTCACGGCGGGCGTGGGGTTCGGGGGCCACGGTGGCCTGGGTCAGCGTGATCAGTGGGCTTCCTGCGGCCCAGGAAATCAGTCGTTCAGTTTCCTCTCTTTGGGTCTGACCTGTGAATTCAGCTTACACTTTCACTTTCAGATACTTAGAGTTTCTGTAAAAATCCCCACAGTTATTGATTTGTAATTCAGTTTTGTTATGGTCACAGAATATTCTGTGCGATCCTTTACCTTTTCGAACGAGTTGAGACTTGTGTGAGTCCACCGTGTGGTGTGTCATAGGTCCATCTGTGTGTCCCATGTCACCTGAATAGAATGTGTCTACTGTTGTTGGGTCTACTGTCCTGTTTGGGAGTCAAGTCAAGAAGGGTGGTGCTGTTCCTTAGATCTGTGTATTGTCTGCAGTGTTTTCTAGTTCTAGCAATTGCTGAGAGAAGATGATAATATCCTACTGCAACTGTGATATTGTGTATTTCATTCTTTAATTCTGTTAACTTGCATTTCCTATATTTTGGAGCTCTATTTATTAGGTAGATACACAATTACCATTATGTCTTCCTGCTGAACTGTCCCTATTATCATTATGAAATGTCTTAATCTCTGGTCAGAATCTTTGTTTTGAAGTCTCCTTTACCTGATATGAAAATAACCACGTTATTCATCAATTATATCTCAATAAAACAGCGCGGGGCATGGTGGTGGTGGGGATGAAGTCAAATAAGATAACCACATTTGCCTTCTCATGCTTATTTTCTAGGTGGCATGTATTTTTTTATTTGCTTTCAAATTATTTATGTCTTTAATTTATAGTGTTCTTTTACAAGCAACATTTAATAGAGTTTTACAGTTTTATCCACTCAGTCGACCTGTTCCTTTTAATTGAGTTATCTAGACCATCAACCATGAATATTCATTGGAAGGACTAATGCTGAAGCTCCAATATTTGGTCATCTGATGGAAAGAGCCAGCTCCTTGGTAAAGACCCCGATGCTGGGAAAGACTGAAAACAAATGGAAAAGGGAGGGCAGAGGATGAGATGTTAGATAGTATCACTGACTCAATGGACTTGAGTTTGAGCAAGCTCTGAGAGACAGTGAATGACAGAGAAACCTCGCGAGGTTCCTTCTATAGGGTGGCAAAGAATCAGACAGGACTTAGTGACTGCACAACAAGAAATGGCCATCAGCATTTAATGTAAGTACGCTCAGCATCTCATCTAATTATTGATATGTTTGGATCAGATCTGTCACTTAAATTATTTGTTTTCTTATTTTCTCTGATTATCTATTTCTATGTCTGATTGTTTTCCTTTTTGTTCCCCATTAATTCATTTAACATTGGTCACTTGAGACAGCTTTTAAGCACCTACTATACACCAGGCATTTTTCTAGGCATTAGTCCTAGGCCTAGTTCCCATGGAGCTTCCATTATAAAGGGCTTTATTGCAGGAAGGGGGACCCCTTCCAGGGCCCGAAACTGGGCTCTTGTCTAACACTCAGAAATGAATTGCCCCGAGGAGACACATGTACTGACAAAGCAAGAGATTTTATTGGGAAAGGGCACCCGGGTGGAGAGCAGGAGGGGAAGGGAACCCAGGAGAACGGCTCTGTCTCGTGGCTCACAGTCTCGGGTTTTATGGTGATGGGATTAGTTTCCGGGTTGTCTTTAGCCAATCCTTCTGAGTCAGCGTCCTTCCTGGTGGTGCACGCTTTGTTCAGCCAAGATGGATGCCGGAGAGAAGGATTCTGGGAGGTGGTTGGGCAGGTGGTGTCTCCTTTTGACCTTTCCTGAACTCTCTGGTTGCTGGAGGCTCATTAGTTCCCTGTTCCTTACCAGGACCTCCTGTTATAAAACAACTCATGCAAATGGTTACTGTGGTGCCTGGCCAGGGTGGGCGGTTTCAATCAATGTGCTTCCCATAACAGGTTGAGCGACAATCAAAACTAACCTAAGCGTGAGGGATTTTGAGTATGATAACTGTGAAATGTGATATGAAGACAAATGAGGCAGGTAGAGATATGAATGACAGTGAGATGGGGAACCAAGAAAGGCCTCTTCGAGGAGGTGCTCTCTAAGCCAACAGATAGCATGCAATGAGGGAGCATGCCTCACAAAGAGCTAGGGAAGGGCGTAACTAGGACAGGGAACTGTAAGTACAAATGCAGGGAGGCAGGAAAGAGAGAAGGTTAGTAGTGGGGCTCGAGTGAGCAGAGAGGAGAGGAAGTGGTAGATGATGTCATTGGAGAGATGGCCAGTGACCAGTCAAGCTGGGCCTCAGAGACCATGGTCGTGTATTTGAATTTTATCTCAAGTGGGTTGGGAAGTGTTTGAGGGTTTTGAGCAGGGAAGGGCCTGATCTGATTTCCAGGTTGGAAGCATCCTCCTGCTGTGAGGGAGATAGACTGTAGGTGGACAGAATTGAAAGGTCAGGGGCCTCTTAGGCGGGGTCCAGGAAAACCAAAGGCATAGGCCTGCCTGCTGCAAGAACGCTCGGTATGTGAGTGAGCGGGTCCTGACTCAGTTTGGGGTTAGTGGCCGTGGGGGTGGTGAGCTGTGGGGAATTCAGAAAAGATGCACGTGCTAATGCATTGGCTGTCAGAGGACCGACTACATGATTTTCAGGGCCCTGTGCAAAATCAAAATGTAGGAACCTTGTTCAAAGATGGTCAAGAATTTCAAGATGACCACAGCAGAGCTTTAAAGCGAGCACGGGGTCCTTCTAAGTGTGAGGCCCCGTGCAACTGTCCGGGCCACACCCAGGACAGAGGCATCCGGGTCGGGGCCTTACAGCGCGGCCCCTGGTCCCACTTGTTGTTCAGAGGGACCGCTGCCCCAGGGCTCCTCTGCCTCCCAGGGGCCCCTGCAGTCTCCTCTCAGGGGGTCCCCATGGGAAGGGACGCCCTCATCCCACCCGCTCTCCCACGCCCGCCCTCCGCCCCTGCCGCCCCTGGCTCCTGTCTGATCGGGTAGGTGGGGGCTCACACCAATGCTGCCAGGCTGGGGAGGGTAACCCTCCGGGGTTACCGGAAGGTGTCGAAAGCAAGTAGTGGGCGGGGACCTCCCCGTCCCGCCCCCAGCCGCGCCCCGGAGGCTCCACATCCCGCCCGGACGCCGAAGGTCGCGGAGGCTGCAGGGCGGCCGCGAAACCCGCACCATGGCCGCCACCACGCCGCTTCGCGACTGTCAGGTACTCGGGGGCCGCCCTCGGCAGAGCGCCCGCGGCCCCGCATCCCCGGGGTGGCCCCGCGACATGCGAGCTGGTAGGACTAGAGCTTCCCGGGGTGCGGTGGTGACACGGCCCCCCCGACAGCCCCGCGGGCGTCCCGGGCGCACGGAAGGCACCAGAGGATACTCCAGTGCGCCCCACCACCGAGAGATCTGTGGCAGGAGGCCCGGCCCCTGGAGACCTCAGATCCTCTTAATCCTCAGGGTTGCGTAGCCCAGCAACCCCGCAGTCGCACGGAGAGGAGGCCGGGCATTGGAGGGTGTCGTCTGGGTCTCGCTGGGACCCGAGGAGGAGGAGTGAACCTGCCCCCACTGGTACCTGGAGGGACCACCGGCTGGGCTCCGGGAGCTGGAAGAGTGGCCTGTGCCCCCGGCAGGATGCCGGGCCGCCACTACCGTGCGCAATTCTGAGGGCTGGAGGTGTTCCCTAATGCCTGATCACGTGACTGAAAATTGGGATGAGAGGAATCCCTTTGGTGGTTGGCACCCTGCCGGCCAGGGAGAAGGACCACCCACCTGGTTTTGGACTCCAACTCCAGCCCCTCCTTTGTCCTGGCATACCCTGCTGCAGCCTGATGAGCGCCTCACCTTTGCTGAGTGTGGGATCCCTGGGGGACACGTCCCAGTCACCCAGGTATCCTCCAGAGCCCCATTTCACAGAGGGGCCAGACAAAGGTCAGAGGGAGGGAGGAGCTTGCCTGAGGGCAGTTGGCTGCTCAGAAGTCCCTGGTGTTTACTTAGGGATAGCCCCACCCAGGATCCAACTCTCTTTGAACTGCACCATCTATGAAATCTGGGAGTCCGCACCTGACCCACAAGGATGGGGCTTTTCCAGGCCCTTACCTGCAGAGTACAGGCATCAGCTTCTTCCGGGTTTGGGGGTGGAGGCTTGCGCGTGCTCCTTGGGAAGGCTACAAGGAATAAGACTGCTTCTTGCTGTGCGCAGGCGTGGAAGGATGCCCGGCTGCCACTCTCAACACCAAGCAATGAGGCCTGCAGGCTGTTTGACGCCACCCTGACCCAGGTGTGTTTACAGAGGGAAGCGGCAGTTCTGTCTGTAAAGATCCAAGAGGAGGTTTCTTAAATTGGTGAATGGTTTTTCTGTTCATGAGAAAAATGTTTGGTGTGTCTGACGGCTGCATTTATTTGTGCCACGAGGACATGGTGCTTCCACATGGGCCCAGTGATCTCTAGCTTCCATCCGCATAGCTTGCTGAAGGTTACAGCCAAATTGCCAAGTGCCATGTGCTGTCCAAGTTGAGCTGGTCAGTGGTGACCGCATACAGGCACAGCACTGGAAGCATTCAAAGCTTTCCCACTTTATCCTGATTTTATAAACATTGTAGCCCGTTAACCCCACTTGTACCCAGAGTTATTGTACCCTGGTAAACTCGAGTGTAGAAAGACTTCCTGGGGACCTTCATGATGCCTTGAAGCATCCTTGCACAGGACCAATGGCTCAGGCTGCTCCCAAGTCCCACAGTCAGTGGCTCAGAAAGCCGTGAATGCTTTTTAAGCTGCATGCAGACTTGAGCAATCCAGTGCAATAGAATCCATGTCCTCTGTATCCTCAGGATGGGGGAACAGTTCCGCCTGCCCCATGACATAGCTGGGAGGTCCTCCAGGCATCGGGCATTGGTCTGTGAGGGTGCTGGGGTTTTTGGTGTGGATCTCCTCCATTTAGGACATGAGCCGCCCCCCCCCCCCTTTCTGGGTCTAATCTGTGGATATACTGCTCCACCTGTGGCTGTTCTAAGACCTTCCACCGTATCACCAGCCATTTCTAACTGCAGTGAAGGAGCCTATAGTCTTAGAACTAGGAGCGTCACAGAGGTAAGGTCCAAATACTTTGGTTGACAGGTAGGGGAGCTGAGGCCTGGAGCGTGGGGCTGACTCTTTCAGCGAGTTAAGAGGGGCAGGAGGCACCTGGGTCTACACACCTTGATGGAAAACTAGGGCGGGGCTCTTCCAAGAGCAGTAAGGCCACTACCTACTGACTCCATCCATGTAGCATAAAGACCAAGGAAGCTGCTAGCAACATGAGGGCCATCCAAGAGACGAGGGTGACATGCCGTCGGCTTGCCCAGGGCCTCCACCGTGTGCATCCGAGCTCTTTGCCTGTTTGTCCCCTTCCCCTTTTGGCTTTTGCAGAGCGTGATTTGTTACAGGAAACATTCCCCAGCGCAGCCCCACGCTCCAAACCCTGCCAGTGTGTGTGCTCTCCCATGAGTCCTTGTCTCTGTGCCCACTCCCTCAAGTCTCGTTAAAATGCCACGTGCTAATTCTGTATAGATGGAGGTTGGATATCTGACAGAGCACATTCTAAAATCTAATGCATTATTATGGTTTTAGGATTTTTTTTTTAAGATTTCTTTTTTTGATGTGGATCTTTTCTAAAGTCTTTATTGAATTTATTACAGTATCGTTTCTGTTTTATGTTTTGGGCTTTGGGCCACCCGACACGTGGGATCCTAGCTCCCCCAGCCGGGATGGAACTGGAAATGCAGCCCCTGCATTGGAAGTGCACAGAATCTCAACCCCTGAACCGCCAGGAATGTCCGACAGAGTTTTAAAAACTAGGCATTAAGGGATTTTTCCTGCTGGTCTGGTGGCTGCAGCTTCATACTCCCACTGCTAGGCCGGGTTCCATCCCTGGTCAAGGCTCCTGCCTGCTGCCACTGAGCTCCAGTGCTGCAACTAAAAGTTCCCGCTGCCGTAAGAAAGATCGGGGATCTCCAGTGCCACAGCTAAGACCCAGTGCAGCCAAATCAGTAAGTAGGCATTAAAACAGACAGACTGGAAACAAACTGTCAAGAGCAATGATGAGATGAAATTAGGGTGAAAGTGAAAGTGGAAGTTGCTCAGTCGTGTCCAACTCTCTTTGAGACCCCGTGGACTATATGAGTCCATGGAATTCTCCAGGCCAGAATACTGGCATGAGTAGCCTTTCCCTTCTCCCGGGGATCTTCCCAACCCAGGGATCAAGCTCGGGTCTCCCAGATTGCAGGCGGATTCTTTACCAGCTGAGCCACACAAAGGAAGCCCAAGAATACTGGAGTGGGTAGCCTATCCCTTCTCCAGTGGATCTTCCTGACCCAGGAATCGAACCGGGGTCTCCTGCATCGCAGGTGGACACTTTACCAATTGAGCCACCAAGGAAATTAGGACAAGTTTGATCTTCCAGCTTGTGCGCCACTTCCTCTTTTCTCTTTTAATATATTTTAAAATTTATTTTTGGCTGCACTGGGTCTACACTGCTGCTCAAACTTTTCTCTAGTTGCAGCTAGCGGGGACTTCTCATTGCAGTGGCTCCTTTTGTTGCAGAGCGTGGCCTCTAGATCATAGAGCACAGGCTCGATGATCGTGGCACACGGGCTTAGTTGCTCCACGGTCTGTGGACTGTGGACCAGGGATCGAACCCGTGTCCCCTGCACCAGCAGGAGGATTCTTTACCCCTGAGCCACCTGGGAAGCCCTTCCTAACTTTCTATAATGAATGTTTACTATGGTTCTTTTTTTAAAAGAATAAATGGAAGTACCCAAATGTCTAGTGCCCTCTTGAGGCTGACGAGGCTGACACTATGGGCAGGTCGCCTGTCAGGAAGGACTTTCCTTTAGATGTATCTTTTTTGGACGCAGAGGCCTCACTAGCCCTTGAAAATGTGCTTTGAGTTATATGTATTAAGTCTCTTCATCTGAGATGCACCCCAGTTATATTTTCTTCGAGCTGAGGTCCAGAAAATACTCAGTGTTCTAGAAAGAAAAAAAAAAAAAGGTTTAGATACACACCTTCATTTACATGAACTAAAAGCTCCCAGGGGACAGCTTTGTTTCCCCTTTTAAATTTCAGTACGTAAAATGGACCAACGACCAGAGCCTTGGTGGCATTGAGAGCTGCCTGTCAAAGCTCAAAGCGGCAGATCCGACCTTCGGTGAGTGATGCTTCCCCTGGGTTGAGGGCCGTGTTTCATGAGTCCAGCCCCTTACTGGTTCTCTGAGTACAGACCTCAGCTGAGCCGCAGAGGGCAGGCCTGTGGTAGTGACCAGGTTGGGAGGAAGGGAAGATCACAGTCACCACTGTGCTTGGAATAACAGCTACTCCCATAAAGATGCCAGTTTCTATAGAAGGTATCTTCCAAATATTTTCCTTAATTGTACATCAATTATGCAAAGAAGACTCTGATCCCATTTCTCAGATGAGGAAACTGAGGTTCAGACAGAGTAAGAAATACACCCAAAGCTACCCAACTGGTAGCTGGGGATCTGGGATCAGACACGGCTGTCTCAATCCAAAGCCTGGACCCCTGGAAACACAAGAAGTGGCCACTGCAGCCTTTCTGCACACTAGTGAGGCCTTCTCCTAGTGAGGCCCTCCCCAGAGAGGCTGGGGCAGGGGAGACCGACCTGGGGACAGGGGCTGCGGTCACAGGCAAGCCATGTGCGTGGCAGGCATGGGGGTCTGGCCAGTGCATTCCAGAAGCCCAGCAGGGTAGCCCCAGCTTGGGTAAGGCTCTGGGCTGGGGGGAAGGGCTGAGAGGGGAGGGCAGCAGGGACTCCCCCCTCCACCGCCGCCCCCCGCCACTGCCAGGTCCCACTGAGGGCAAGGGGCACAGAACAGGGGATGAAGGAAGCTGTCAGGGGAGCTAGCCTCTGGGCACGGGCTCAGGCTCTCTGAGCAGACCCTGGCCCGCAGGTCAGACGCGGGGGCCACATGTGGTCCTAGCACTGAGGTTGGGTCCTAGGTCTCAGACCCGGACTAGGGACCGGAGCTTGAAACACCAGTGGACATCCTTCCTCTGTCAGGACAGGGGCTGGCACTCCCAGGTGGGACCCGGGGGCTAGACTGCTGAGAGGGCCGCAGGCAGCCCCCCCGGCCTGACCTTTCCCAGCCACCACGTTTTCAGCACGGGAAGGCCACCAAGACGACCATGGCTTCTGTGCTCTGGGGGCCGGCCCCCCGACAGCATCTCTGGGGGGCCCTGTTCTGCTGGCAGTGATGGTGGCAGCTGATGAGGGAAGCAGAGGGGCTTCCGAAGTGCCCTGAGGCAGCCCCTAACCAGCTCATCCAGTGAGCGGGGCACAGGCGCCCCACACACTGCTGCTCCCCGGAATGTCCTGGCTGAAAAAGTGCTCGGGGTGGGGGGGGCGGTGCAGGATGTATTAGGATTTCTGCACCTCCACGCGCATGGTGAGGATCTGAGCTCTGCACTGTTGGTGGAGACACAGCCCAAGGCCTCCTGACTTGCCCTTCCTAGGACGTGGGGTGTTTATTTCACCTGCAGGGCCTGCCTGGGCTGGGCAGGACCGTCTGAATCACCAGCTCTTTTCCTACTTTTCGCCAGCCATGGGCCACGCCATTGCTAATGGCCTCGTGCTGATTGGCACCGGAAGCTCCGTGAAGCTGGACAAAGAGCTGGATGTGGCCGTGAAGACGATGGTGGAGATTTCCAAAACCCAGCCCCTGACCCATCGGGAGCAGCTGCATGTGTCTGCAGTAGAGACCTTTGCCAAGGGGTGAGGGGCCTCCCTGGGCCAGGGGCTGGCCTCCAGGACCACGCTCGCTGGCCAATGCCACGGGCTGCCCCAGCACTGTGCAGAAGGGGCTGGGGGGTGATGCCCACCCTGCCTCCCATGCCTGAGGACACGGTTGGTTCAGATTCCTAGTCTGACATTCGAAGCAGCTTATTTGGTTTCATTGAATAAGTTGGTTATTATTTTCCTTACAAAAATAATTGCCACAGTCCACGGGGTCACAAAGAGTCAGACACAACTTAGCGACTGGATGACAACATCAAAAATAATAGGATCACAGTAAAGAAATAGATAAAAGAGAGAGGAAGATCCTTGCCCTTAGACTCCTGGTCCTAACACACCAGGTGAGCCTCTGCCCATTGCCCCCTGCCCCTCTGGCTCCCACTCTGTCCCCCTGTGTGTCCTGTGACCCCAGGACACCCCGTGTGTCTGCTCGTGTAGGGGAGATGCCCGCAGACCTGGGTGACCGAGTTCTGAAGCCGTGACAGAGCTCTGTTCCGCTCTCCCTGGTGTCATTGCTGTTGTCCAGTCGCTAAGTTGTGTCTGACTCTCCGTGACCCCACGGACTGCAGCACACCAGGCTTCCCTGTCCTTCACTGTCTTCCTGGGGAGTCAGTGTGAATGTCAGCGCAGGGTTGGAATTCCACCTCTCAGGCTTCCCACAGCTGGTGTATGGTCTCAGGTGAATTGGCAACTTGTGAAACCAGTTTTTTGGTTTTTTTTTTTGCTTGAATTAGAAAGTAAAACACCCCACTGGCTTTTGCATTTTCTGAGCCACAACCTGACACAGAAATGTGCCTGTGTATTTTAACCAGTTCAGTGCAAGCCGTGACACTGGCAGGAAGGGAAGCCCCTTCCACTCGCCGTGTGTGAACTGGGTTCAGGGTTGCTGAGACACCTCTCTTGGCTTCCAGGAACTTCCCGAAAGCCTGCGAGCTGTGGGAGCAGATTCTCCGGGACCACCCAACAGACATGTTGGCCCTGAAGTTTTCCCACGATGCCTACTTTTACCTGGGCTACCAGGAGCAGATGCGAGATTCCGTGGCTCGAGTTTATCCCTTCTGGACGCCCGACATCCCCCTGAGCAGGTCGGTGCCAGCTGGGAGTCACATCGTTCCTGTCTCAGCCTCTCCTCTGCCCTGAAGAATGGCAGAGGCCCTGACCTGAAACTCGTGAGGCTGCTGTTGCTCTTTCCTGTTTCTCTGAAGTGAAAAGGTGGGAGTTCCCTGGTGGTCCAGGGTCAGGTCTCTGTGCCTGGGTTTAACCCCTGGTCAGGGAACTAAGGTTCTGCAAGCCACAGGTCTTGGCCAGAAAAAAAAAAAAAAGTGAAAAGGCTTCACATCTTCACTTGACCTTTATCCCATCCTGGGAATGAGGTAATGCCATTATGTATCAGTCAGCACAAGGCAGGTTTTGCTGCACTAACAAACATCCTCTAGATCTTTTTCTCCACTCCTTATTACAAGAAAGGCGAGCTTCTCCGTCATAATACGTGTCCATCACAGGCGGGCGGAGGCTCTGGGCCCATGCCATTGTCTCCCTCTGGGATCCCAGCTGGTGAAGCCACGCCTTTCTGGACACGCCAGCTGCTAAGAGGAAAGAGAGCTCTCCTGGGGGACTCGCAGTGGCGTTAGTGCTCAGAGTGAAGTGCTCTGAGTCGCCGGCCCGATCCAGTCACCCCCCCCCCCCCCCCCGCCGCAGGAAGCCAGGAAGCGCAGCACTACCATGGGCTGGAAGGAGAGGGAGGCGTGGAATAACTGTGAGCAGGCCCAGGGACTGCCCCCCGGGGTCACCTCCACTGCATCTTAATCATAGGATTGTTGTGAAGGGCAAGTGGATTAATAGATTGAAGAGCTGTGTTGTCAGGGTTCTCCAGGAAACAGAAACCAATAGGATGTGTATTTATTATGTGGTCACTAAGTTTTGTGTCCGACCCCATGGACTTAGCCCGCCAGGCTCCTCTGTCCATGGAATTCTCCAGGAAAGAATACTAGAGTGGGTGGCCATTTCCTCCTCCAAGAGATCTTCCCGACCCAGGGATCCAACCCGAGTCTCCTACATTGGCAGGCAGATTCTTTACCACTGGGCCACAAGGGAAACCCAGGATATGTATCTCTATATCTATGTTATTTACACACACACAGGGAGAGAGATGGGGCAGAGGAGGGAGGGAGGTGCATTTATTTTACGGAATTGGCTCCAGTGACTGTGGGGACTGGCAAGTCTGAAATCGTTCCAGTCTCTGCCTTCGTCTCCACGTGACTGTCTGTCGTCTGTGTGTGTGTGTGTGTGTCTCTGTGTGTTCTGCCTCCCTCTCCTTTCACGTATAAGGACACCAGTCGTTGGGTTTAGGGCCCACCCTCATCCAGGATGACCTCATCTTAACTTGATCATGAGCCGCAAAGATTCGAATTCCACGTAGGGCGTGTGTCCAGACATACCGTCTGGCGGGGAACACAACCCTGCTCCGGCCATGTGGCGGGTGGAATAGTTCTAATCCATTTTTAAAAAATAATCATCTCAGTTTCTGTTTCCAGCTACGTGAAAGGCATCTATTCTTTCGGACTAATGGAAACCAATCTCTATGATCGGGCGGAAAAGCTCGCCAAAGAGGTAGGTGGGTCCTTCCCAGCTGCAGGAGCCCTGGGGGAGAGTGTCAGGGGGCGCAGAGCAGGCCAGGCTCGGCCCCCCACTCTGCACCCCGTTTCCTGCTGGGAGGGCTGTGTTAACAGAGGGCAGCTCCCTCCGTCACCTGTGCCCCTGGGTCTGCAGAGCTACCTTGCACAGGTGGGGGAAGGCCCGTGTCTCCAGGGCCCCACGTGTGTGTTCTGGACCCAAACTGTGTAGGTGGGAAATGGGTGTCAGCGTTGCTTCTCCCACCTGGAACCGCAGGTTTCTAAGCGATGCCAACAGCACCAAGCCTCCAGGAGAGGACCCTTACGTGCTGAGTGAGGCTTGTCGCCAAAAACTATCGCCACTGAACTATCAAGTTAACAAGGAAAGAAAGGGAATTTTACTCAAGCCAAACTGAGGATTGTAAACCAGGAAGCAGACAGTCCTGAGCACTGTTCTCCCAGTTAGAACTTGAAGGTACAGTCGCCTACTTTTGTGAGACAAAGGACTGAACATCAAAATGACATCCTGATATTTTCCATGAAGGTCACCAAGGACACACAGTCTGGATACACATGAACAAAGTGAGCAGCAAGTCACCATGCCCCACTGCAGGGCTGGGAAGGGCAGTGTTCTCTGAAGAACTTAGACTGCTGGCATCCGAGGAGAGGAAAGACTCCGTCTCCAGGGCGGAGCAGGCGCTCCCTTCTTTGAGGAGCTCTGGTTAACGTGTGATGCAGGTGTGCGCTGCAGTCAGGGAGCCAGGGAGGAGGCCGGAGCAGGCACAGAGAGGATCTCACGCTTCATTTTTCTGGTCCTCCCTTAAAATATAAATTTTATCTCATCAGGCTGCTTCCGGCGGGCCCTGACCTGCATTGGGGCCTGCTGGCCAGGCCTTGTCTTGAGTACCGCCTCCGCCGGAGGCAGCCGCAGCCACGGGCACAGAGCCGGGTGGGATGCTAAGTGCTTCCCGCGGGCCTGGCCCCTCCCTCTGTGCTGGGGCACATTGGCTGGCCGCTACCCTGGACGCACCCTGGACACTCTGGCTTGCAGGCCCCAGGGCCTCAGCTTCTCTGACTCAGAGGCCCCTCCTCCAGCGCCTCCCCTCCCAGGAGCAGAGACTGAGGCCCAGGGAGGGACCACCATGTACCCAGGAGTGACAACCGCTCCTGGGCCTGGCTCAGGGTTGGCCCTCACTTGGACGTGCCCAGTCCATCTGCTGGATGCAATGCCATGAGGCACTGAGCCCCTTCATCAGTCAGAGGAGAGCAGCCGGGCTCCGGGAGGCCACGGCCAAGGCCGCCCAGCCCACAGAAGGCAGTGCCAGGCTCCCCCAGGCTGCCTGAGCACAGTCCATGCTGCCTGGACAGACCTGCTCCCCAGCTCCCAGCAGGGCTCGTCCCCCAGACGTTGCCCTGGAGGGCTCCCAGCACCCTCCCCTCCCCAGGGGGCATTGCTGCCCTCCTTGGGCCGCAGGGCACTTGGGTCTCTGCAGAGCTCTGGGTTCACAGAAGTAGAGGTGGGACTTGACAGGAGGTGACAGGGTCTGTGATGCAGTCCTGAGTCAGGGCTTTGAGGGGGGACACAAGGGACTTCACTGTAATCTTGGCTCCATGCTGGGGGACCAGGCATCACCCCCCGGGGGGCCAGATGCAGGAAGGTCCTCTGGACACCTTGGTGTTGGGCCCTCCTGCTGGGCGCCATCTGTGTGGGCACCTGTGGGTGGCAGGATGGTTCAGGAAGTCAGAGGGGGACTGAGACGAGAGTCACAACCGCCAGGAGCAGGAAGGGGTGATGTGGGGGGATCCCTTCTCTCCCTTCACACTTGGTCTCCTGCAGGCGCCCACACTCTGACCCCAGCACCAGTCCACTACAGACAGTTACTGGGCAAGGCCAGGCTTCTGGGAAACTGAGAGTAGGATGCACAGGCTCCTCTGGGATCAGGAGAGGCTTCATGATGGTGACACCCGGGCCTCATCTGCAGGCTGAACCCCCAGGGCAGAAAGAGCAAAGGGCAGCCGTTGGGAAGGGGAGTGGCAGGCCTGGGCTGGCTGATAGATGGAGCGCTGATAGACCGAGGCTTAGGGCAGAGACGGGCGGGGCGGGTGCTGGGAGCAAAGTTTGGGAACAGCAGGGCCAGGTCACCCTGGCCAGGTGGACTCTGCCCCAGGAAACTGGGGGGGGGGCGGGGGGAGTGGGGAAGCAGGTCAGCAGGGGAGGGTGGCCACGATCCCCACAGGGGGTGAGAGCAGCACCTGCCGTGAGCCCCGGCCCCGTGCTGCACCCTTCGTGGGCTTGTTCACAGGGCCCGGACCCCCGGCCTGCTTGGCTGCACCCCCGGGGTCTCCTGCAGCGTCCTGGTCCTGTGGGGCTCCGCCCCAGGCCCCCGGCGTCCCTGCAGGCGGGCCCCTCCTCTGTCCTCACGCGGACCGGCCGGGCCTTGCGGTGGGGCTGCACACCGCCCGCTGCGGCGCAGACCGCCTGGCCGGGGCCGGGCCAGGGGCAGGGGTGAAGGCACGGGGGAACCGAGGGAGCAGGGCTGGGGGGGCCCCGGCTCGTGTGGGTGGTCCCCAGGGTCACGGTGAAGCTCGGCTTCCTGCCCTGTGCCGGTCTCGGTAGGTGCTCAGCACCCTCACGTCCCCCTGCCATGTCGTCACTGGCCAGTCCACCAGCCCTGTGGGTGGCTGTCGTCATTACTCGCGGGAGCATCAGAACAGGCCTGGAGAGTCACACGTGTGTGTGTGCTAGTCGGGAGGGGCAGCTGAGACCCCCAGAGTCCGTACACACTCTCCCACTGGCCTCCATGGCAGCCCTGAGAGGAAGGTGGGGACGCTGGGTGGCACGTTGCACATGACTCAGCTGTGGACCTGAGGCTGGGGGCAAAGGGGCTGAATAAGCCCCTGCTTTGGAAAGACCCCACTGCCGCCCCACTGCGCGGCTCTGGGCAAGTCATCAGCCTCCCTGAGCCTTAGTCTCCATCCGTGAAGTGGGCAGTGACACCCTCATTGGCAGCATCCAGTCTCTGATTCACGGGCGGGTCTCTGGGGTCATTGCTTTGAGGCAGAGCCCAGGCACCTGGTGCCCCTGCAGCTGGGACGCCTTGTCACCAGGCGGACTGACTCACACATCATCTTGATTTGTCCTCCCCTCCCCCCGCCCACGTAGGCTTTGTCCATTAACCCGACGGATGCGTGGTCGGTGCACACCATTGCGCATATTCACGAGATGAAAGCGGAGGTCCGGGAAGGCCTGGAGTTCATGCAGCACTCGGAAGCCCACTGGAAGGTATGGTGCTCGTCCATCCACCCGCCTGGAAAATTCCATCTGTCCTCCTAAGTTAAGCTGAGGATTAACAGATAGGGTTACCAGGTGCAGCTTAGTCCTGGGAAAACTTATGTTCCGCTTGGAAGCATTTCTATCAAACCACTGGGTCCCCCGGGAGCCACACGGCTCCCCAACACCTGCCAGCGTTTTGCAGGTAATTCTAGAATTGGTCGTGGCCTGAGGCATTTGGCTGTAGAAGGAATGGATGAGAAAAATTACTGGCTGAACAAGAAGCCAGGCTTCCCAGGTGGCTCAGCAGTAAAGACTCCTACAATGCAGGAGACTCAGGTTCAACCCCTGGGTCAGGAGGATCCCCACCTGGAGAAGGAAATGGCAACCCACTGCTGTATTCTTGCCTAGAGAACCCCATGGACAGAGGAGCCTGGCGGGCTACAGTCCACGGGGTGGTAAAGTGTCGAACACAACTGAGCGACTAAACAATGGCAACAAACAAGAGCCTGGCACTGGTGAGAACCTCGAAGGCTCTGAGCTGCCACCTCCGCCACTGGCTAGAGGGCTGGACACGGACCCCAGCACCACAGAGTGTCTGCAGGGAGCAGCTGGTGCAGCCAGGGGCCGATAGGGTGGATGAGGGCCCGGCGATCATCTGCAGGGCTGGCATGCGGGGGTCAGGTCCCTGGTGGGGCAGTGGCACCCATGCCTTCCAGACCCCTCAAGCCCTGCCAGGCGGCCCTTTCCTGGGGCCTCACTGTGCCCGCCTGCACCCAGCTGCGGTGGCCCTGTCTCCTCACATGTGCCTGTTGTCCTCGGGTTTGTCCCTGGCACCCACCCGGGCTGCCTGTCCAGGGGTGGTCTGCTGCCCTGCCCTTCTCTGGGCCACAGTGGGCACCCAGCAGCCCGTGGTCAGCGGCTGAGCAAACGAAGGCGAGACCAGGACCCAGGCAGGGAGCAGGGGCTGGCACGATGACCTCGGTGTGGCCCAGGAAGGCCAGTGAGGAGTCATTGACAAGGCAGCATCCTGGCCTCTCCAGGAGGGCTATTAGGTAGAGCAGGCGAGCAGGTGCAAGGTAAACTTGGAGAACTGTGACGGCATTAGGTTCAGACTCACGTCTTTGTAAGGGTCCCTAGACCCTGGGCCTGAAGTCAGCCCTGGGTGGGGAGTCGGGGGTGCAGTGTGGGTCGGGCCCCTGTCCTCAGGCACCCCCGGCAGGTACTGACCCTGCATGGAGGGAGCACCTGGGCGGCCGAGCCCTTCAAGGCGGAGGCCGAGGAGGCTTGGCCAGGGCTGGGTCATTTGTATTCATTCCATTTACTTCCTGCCCCAGACTCTGGATTTCCTGGGCCTGGGTGCTTGAGGCCTGCCCTCTCCCTCAGGGCAAGAGCCCGATCCCTCTGAGCCTCAGTTTCCTCATCTGAAAAACCTGCTGTTGCCACCGCCATGAGGCCCCTGGCCCCAGAGGAGCGCCCTTGGACGTTGGTCTGACTGTAACACGAGGCAGCCAGTGATGGCTGGGCTCATCTCCTGGCAGGCGCTGGGCCCCGACGCCTTGCACGGCCCCTGCGGAGGCTCCTGGCGGCCTCCATCCCGGCGGCCCAGCCCAGCCCAGGGACAGACGGCGGGGCCTGCGGCTCCCCTTCCCGTCCTCCGGCTCCTGCCCCCGGCCCTTGGCTGCTGGCGCCAGGCTCAGTTCTTCAGGCTCCAGTCAGTGTCCTGGGCTTTAGCTCATCCCGGGGACCCCACTGAGGGTCCTGCACAGGCTGCTCTGTCTACAAAAGGCCCGTCAAGTGGAGCCAGCAGCTCCCAGCATGACCATAGCATGGCTGGGGCACTCTTGCGGGTATGGAAACCTGGAGGAAGCATCCTACCCAATTGGGCTTGAGTGGGGAGCAGTCAGAGAAGGCTTCCTGGTGGAGGCAGCCTATGAGATGAATGTCGAAGGGTGAGTAGGGGTTTGTAGACAACGGACAGGGAGGTGTAGGATCACTGTGAACAGAAGCGCGCAGTGGTCTGTGAGGGAGGGGAGCTGGGAGGGTTGAATCCTCAGACATAGGTGTAGACGTGGGTCATGGAGGAGGCGGCGTCAGCTGCCTCCCAGGACGTGGGAGGTGGTGTCCAAGCAGAGAAGGGAGTGTCTGCCGCAGCCACGTAGGCTGGCATTCATGGCGGGGCCCAAAGCAGAGCGGCTGCAGCCGTCCGGGTGTCACCCCTGCCCCTTTATCCCGTGGGCTGTGCCAGGACCCGCGCAGGTTCGGCCCCAGGCGCAGCGGCCGTTGGGTTTTATGGGGACGTCCTGTGCTGTTGGGCGCAGTCGGCCCCTGCAGCTGTTTGGATGGGCTTCCTCGTTTTCTCCACACCACACCTAAGGAAGGCGAGCTTGGGGTGCCAAGCGGCCCCCTCTGGGTGGCTCTGGTTCTCCTGCCTCCTCATCCTGGGGCTAAGATGCCAGCCTGCCGTAGCCTCAGCGCCCTAGGTAAATTCAGGCCCACCGCGTGCCGAGGCTCAGGGCCAAAGGAATGGACAGGCGTGGACTTGCTGGCCAGGGCAGCTGAGGCAGGGGCTGGGAAGTGTTTCCCGCACTCAAAGCTGTGGGGTTCTGCGTTGACACAGATAGCAGCTGCTTACCCTCCCGTACCCAACCCAACCGCCCATCCGGGCTGTCAGATTCTTCTCATGTTCTTGTTCTTTCCCCAGGCCTCTGACATGCTTGCTTGCCATAATTATTGGCACTGGGCCTTATATTTGATCGAAAAGGTAAGATGACCAGCCGTCTTAACCTACAAAGATGTAGAGTCTTACATCTTTGTAAGGTCTTACCCTCCAAGGAAAGAAATGTTTTTCTGCCTTTTGCTGTACTTTATATCCTGTGGAGCAGTGCTGTGTGTTTGTGCATTGCAGCGGTGTTCTGATGCAGTAGGGCACTCATGTTTTCAAACAGCTTTTCAGGTTTGAACTCCTTTAGGTATTTCCCACTGTCCTGGACTCAGAAATCCTGTACACACGTGTGCCATTTGTGGAGACAATGTAGACCCAGTATCTCTGCCCCTGGAGTGAACTGCCAGGCCTGCACCCCACGGTTGTGCCTGAATGAGCCACGGGACCCTCACAGTGTTTCACCCCAGTGGGGGCGCGGGTGTGGGGTCATGCTTGACCCCAGCGATCCCACCACTGGGTCCCATTCATAAGGGCTCTTCTTGCAGTTTGTCTTAAAGAAAATCTAGAAGTTCCCTAAAGGTCGAAAGAGAAATGCTTGGAAGGTAAGGGCCCTGTAAGGATATGCAGAATGCAATAACACAGCATCTTCAAGAAAGCAGTGAACCCAGCTGAATGGGCCATGAGGAAAAGACAGAGAGGAAGAAACAGTCCTGGAGGAAATAGATGAAAGAGCTCACAGCTGCTTGACAAGTGCTTCATGGAAAAAGCAATGCTTTTGAGGAAAAGGCTCCCCTAGCAGCAGCTGCTGCTGTGTCCACTACCTGGGGAAAGAAGGGCTGGGGGCAGGGGTTCCTCTCTGCCCATCCCAAGACCCACCAAGCTGTAGGCAGGCAGGTTGGGGCCTTTGTCGAGGCGTTTTCAGTTCATGTCTCAGCATCTCATTTCGCCTCCCTGTGTTAATCCCGGAACTTCGTTTTTCCAGGGCGAATATGAGGCTGCGCTGACCATTTATGATGACCACGTAAGTCCACGCTTGCACTCGATTCAGTTTATTGCGTCGATTTCCCTTCAGTCTCGACTAGCTTCCTGAGCGGGTCCGTGTTGCCCCAGACAGACCCACAGCTCTTGTGTAAGACCTCACGCGTTGATTCTCTCCAAGGGCAGTGTTGAAACCCAGAACAGGGTTTGACTCTGCTCGCCTGTGGGTGTTGGGAGATTGCTTTCCCAGGTGACTCGGTGGTAAAGAATCCATCTGCCAATGCAGGAGATGCAAGAGATGTGGGTTCGATCCCTGGGTCGGGAAGATCCCCTGGAGGAGGAAATGGCAACCCACTCCAGTATTCTTGCCTAGAAAATTTCATG